GTGCATGCCCAAGATCCTGAGAGGAGACTGAAGGAGAAGGGATTGTGGTGTGACCATCCTCCCTGGGGGGTGATTTCTCACTTTCTGTCGCTCTGTCTCTCTCTGTCTTTCTGGGGAGTGCACACGCCCTACAGCAAAAATCTCTAAAAAAAAAATAAAAAGGATGATAATGGCATTTCCTCAGTATAATGTTTGAATTGTGACCAAAATATTTGACATACATGAGCTGACTAGCTCTTAATTCTCCCTATTTTTAAAATTGTATATGTTCTTTCCATAGGGTACATAGCATGTTCGACAGAGACAGAGACTGGAAAAGAGGGAAATCAACCCAGAAGGAATGGCCATGTCACAATCTCTTCTTCTCTATTCTCTTCTCAAGATTTTGCATGCATTCACATGCTATTTGAGTGATATTCAAGACACTGAGTCCAGATAGCAGTCTGTGTTCAGCCCTGTAGAACTCCAGTGCCTTAACTACTCTTCACCTACATTTTACATTTCCCCTTACATTTTCCCTATTCTTCAAGGAACCTAGAAGGTGCCACCTACTCTTATGGTCCTCATATCCACTCGATCACCAAGACCTGAGCATTTATTTTATTTTATTTTTTATTTTTAAGGAGTGTTATAAACTTTATTTCTAGCCCTTTTGCCTCCATTTGACCTAAGACGACACAACTATGAAATACAGAAAATACAGACATCACCACAGTCAAGTTAATGTGCTCACATGTACATAAACTGACCATTATCTAATGACACTTGGGTCTTTGAAAGTGGCTATTTCAACACTAAAATTTCTGTAAAATGTTTTCATGAACATGTGTAAATACATTGTCTTTCAAAGGTGAATAGTATCTCTACCATATTCCAAGACAAGAATGCCCTCAAATATATGAAATAAACCCAATTTATATAGCCTTATGTACTTTCAAGGTACTTAATTTTTTTTCCATCTAGAGTACACTGTTTATTGTCTCAATCAAGCACATCAACAAACATGTTATTGTCAGCAAATAATCTTCCATTTCTTGCTTTCTGTATGTTTTGCTTTTTATTCCCGCATCCTTGATTTCCTATCTCTTACCCTCTGCCATCTCCCACTCTCCTCCCACACTGTCTCCGGTATCTATGTTTGCTTTCTATACTGTTTTCCCCCCACATTTTATTGAATCACCAAAGACCCTAATCAATCCAAATACCCTCCTAGCAAACACAGGAGACACACACATTTCCATGAGCACAAGTCTAGCTTCCTCCCCTCCTTTTTGAAAAGCAGAGTCTCGCTGTGATTCTTTTACCTCAGTTTCCTGAGTAATTGGGTCCACTGACACACACCACCTCACCTGGCTCCTTCAGACAGGGTCTCGCCACGGTGCCCAGGCCAGTCTCAAACTCATTATTCTCTTGCCTCAGTCTCCCAAGTCTCTGGGATTACAGGTGCATGCCACTGTATCCGGCCTTTAGGTTAAAACGGGAATCGAACTTGAGCCTTCCATGTAGTCTTAGCCTTTGGAATGCAGTGTCTTAGCAGCCCACACCAACACAGCCAAGCCTGAACATCACTCTCCACAATGTAGGTGTTTAACAGTGACCAAACCTATGAGATCAGGAATAGAATTTCCACTTTGGGTGTCATATTAATGCTTAAAAAGTTTTGACTTTTGGCGCATTTTAGATTTCAAATTTTCAGATTAAGGATATTAAACATGTACCCTCTTTCTAGCTCACTAGAACTACATTAGGTGTCTGTTTCTCACTAAACACCTATACAGTTCAGCAAGGCACAACGTCTCCCTGTTGAGTAAATGTATTAGTTGGAAAAGATTAAATTAAAATGTATAGAAGGTATTTCATAATATGCTTGACACACTGTACACGTTTAGCGATAATTAAATTATACTCCGTTAAGAATGTTGCTGCCTTTTTTTTTTTTTT